GGAATGGGTTGGATAATACTCGAGGAAAGTAAAAGAACCGTTTGGGAGAAACCAAAATTAAACACCGAATTAATCAGGGACGAAAAATTGTAGGATGTCTGAACTCCTTATGGTGGGATCGCAACATTTCCAAAAGGAATAAAAAAAAGAATAGGGCAAACGATGGTTGAATCAGTTCTTTGTTATGGCTCTGAAGTATGGACAATTACTGCAGACCTGAAGAGAAGATTGGTGGCAGTTGAAATGGATTATTTGAGAAGAAGTGCCAGAACATCAAGGCAGGAAAGGAAGACCAACGAATATATAAGAAATAACATAAATGCTACAGAAATGATCATTGACAGAATAAAAAGAAGAGGTTGAAAATGGTTTGGACACCTATTGAGAATGCCTGACGAACGTTGGCTCCAAAAACTTCACAAATGGAAGCCCCTGATAAAAGAAAAAGAGTTAGACCTCGACGCACATGGAATGAAGGAATTAGAAGAGCGATCGAATCGAAAGGTTTGGCCGTCTCCAAAATGTATTGTATTTACAAGTTGGATTAATGTCAAACGTCAATAAACTTGTTTTAATCTTCAATTGTGGCTTATTCCCAATAAAATAGTAATTATTTTAAAATGCCAAAAGAAAATAGCTTCAGAACAATAGATAAGATCTAGATAAGAGAAGGGAGCGTTCCAAAAATGTCGTCAGTCTTACAGCAGCCACCCCACTTTCGGAGTACAGTACGTGGGACCATCAACTGCGCACAAGTAAGAGAGAGTGGTTTTAGTTGGTATGCAGGATAATAGATACATGAATCTTTGGCAGTGCTATTTTTAGTACTTTAAATTAAATTAAAACCCAAATTTTAGGGCTTCAAAATGGAGATAGCATAAAAAATTTTCAAAACCCCCTTCTTCTTCATGTATCATGTCCTTTCAGAACGTTGGTTACCATCATAGCTCTCTTAATTTTATTCACTGCCACCCTAAATAGCATGCTTGTATCAACACCATATCAATCTCGCAAGTTCTTCAACCATAAGGTTCTTCGTCCTGGATTGCGTTTGCCTGCTATTTTTCCTTGCATGATATTTTGTAGCAACCTATATTTGGGACCTCTCATTACATGTCCGAAATACTCCAGCTTTCTCTGCTTAATGGTTTTTATAATCTCAGTAGTCTTGCTGAGACGTTCTAGTATTGTAGAGTTTCGAATCTTCTCCACCCAGAAAACTTTTAAAACTTCTCCATAGCACCACATTTCAAAAGCCTCAAGCAAACTCGCCCCCTCAGACAAATTCTGGGTGCGCCACTGATACATCCACAAGGTAAAGAAAATCCACGCATAATATACATTTAATATAAAAAATACATTTATTTATTAACAGGTACCACACAATTATTATAAAATATTACAAAATGATACATTACATTAAAAAGTATGCACGCAATAAATATATTGCTGTAAATTGAAAAAAAATTACAAAACCTAGTCGCTTTACACGTTTAGAAATATTCTTTCTGCACATAGAAATAAATCAAGGTCTATTTTACTACCATGTAGAATCATTCTGTTCATTGGAGAATGTTAAACAAAATTACACATATGAATATTCGACTGTAACATTTGAAAATAACCGAGTAAATCTAGAAAGGATATTAAAATCAATTAAAGACAACAGATTATTCAATCAATGAGTCAGTCTTGGATCAATCAATTCAGCAGTGGCGGCTTTTGGGGGTAGGCAGGATAGGCCGGGCCTACCCAATAATTTTAAGAGCTTTAAAATTGAAAAACATATATTCAACAATTATGTTAATGCATGTAAATAAATTTTAAATGTACTAAATCACTCAATACATTAGCGTCCGTTAAAACAACTATGTTATTATATTACCACAGAAAGCATCGAATCGTATTCAGGCATTTTAAATATCATTAATAGGCCCGATCGGAACTGGCCAACCCAGCTCACATAAGATCCCCATACAAAAAGCGTTTGAAGTTAAGCAGCTTGCCGGACAACGATTTTTATTGTCGTCTTTATGATTGCTGTTTAGGCACCAGACGATCGGGCCTACGCCGACCATCGTTGTCACTTGTAACGTAATTATCGAATTGTAATTTAAATTTTCTTTTAAATTATGATAAAAAGATATGTAACATAATCTATAATTGTAACAAATTTTTAAACAAACAACACAAATGTGTTGTATGAGAACGCCATAAATATTTCCACATTTTTTGCATGCATTCTTGATGAAACAACCGATATTACTGAAAGGGCACAATGTTCAATAGTATGCAGATTAGTGGATACAAAAGGCGTTGTTCAACAAAATATTATTCTCAACGCTTCAAGGTATTCCAACTTATTTTCACCAATCGTCCAAATGGTCCTATTTTTTAAATAAAATACTTGGAAAACGAATTACCACAAATGGTGAAGATGGAATTCAAATGCAAAAGTAGTACATGCTGTGTCACAAGAAAGAAAAAAATTGTTACAAGTCTTTCAGGAATAATTAATTGCCCAGAATCAAATGCAAAATGAATAAGGCAGGCAGATGGTTTTAAACGTAAGTTGGAGGATTTCGAATTTGTATTTTTATTAAATGTTTTTAGTGATATACTTCAACAAACTGAGCTCTTATACAACATCTTGTAGAAGAAAAAAAAATTTTTTTTTAACCTATTCTCTATCCTTCCATTGTTGGATATAGGTCTCCCCCAGTTCTCTCCATCTTTCCCTATCTTGAGCTGTTCTCTGCCATGTGGGACCTCCTTATTTCCTGATATCATCTTTCCACCTCATCTGTGGTCTGCCTCTTGATCTCTTTGCATTGTATGGACGCCACTTTCCGATGGCATTGTTCCATCGTCCGTCTTGGAGACGTTCATTGTGTCCAGCCCATTTCCATTTTAGTTTTGCTGCTTGTTCTATCGCGTCTACTGTCTTTGTTCTGGTTCTGATCCACTGGTTACGTTTTCTATCTCTAAGTGATACACCCAACATTTGTTGGGTGTATCACTTAGAGATTCACTCAATTCTGTAGGCTTAATTCCAGATACTCACAGGCGTTACTCACATTATGAGTTAAGCGGCTGTGATACTGCGACAACAGCAGCGTCTGACCCAGAGTGGGCGGCTGCAAACAGCGTCTGTTCCCGGAGTGGGCGGCTGAAACACACTTACCAACCCTTTCTGGCCAGCGTGGTAAGTTTACGGGGCCAATCAACCCCCCCCTCTTATGATAGAAGAAAAATAATGGTGTTCAATTGTGTGCCAATTCAGTGTCCAGAAGTGTTGCAAGGTTAAAGAGCTGGAGAAATGACCTTACATTTTCTAACCATTTCAACATTGCTGTTAGCGAAACCAATTCTAAACCCATCTTAAGTCGTAAGTAGTGAACTTGATATTTTACCTGGTAGTTCATCTAATAACGGAGATCAAAGTTTTTTGGAGAAAGCTAAAACTAAATTTAGAAGGTTCTTTTTTGAGATTTTGGACAATATTATCACTCAATTAGAGCAACGTTTCTCGGATTACAAAAAGTTTCAATAACTGGAATTGGGCGATAATAAAAGATTCACATAATATGGCGATATTATACATAAAGATATTATATAAAGACCAAGGATCCCCCTTGAAGTTTATCTGTTATCTGAACCAGCATGACTAAGAATAAATACACAGAACACTGATGAAGACCCACTTTCACACAAAATTTTAGTTTCACCTACAATTGTTCTAACGCTAATTGTTAACTCGCATACATGTCTTGCATTACTCTCACATATTCAGACTTCACTCATTTCCTATTTAATCTCTACCACAGTAGCTTTCTGATAGCTTTGTCGTATGCCTTCCCAAGATTAATAAAGATTATGTGAAAGTCTTTCTTTTTCGCTCTAAATTTTTCCATTAGCTTTCGTATAATAAAAATTGCTGTTGTAGACTTGCCCTGTATAAATCCACTTTGACTTCTATGCGAAAAATTGTCTGAAAAAATTAAGCAAATGTTTATGAAAAATTTACATTTTTTCATGTATTTGAGCTTTAGTAGAGCTTAAATTTGGCATTTTATATAGCAACATGCTGTGGTATCAAGTATTGTCCATAATAATTATAAAACGTTGTACGAGGTTCTTTAATAACTGCTCTTCAAACCAGTGTAGAAAGTTATCTTTATTCATTTTCCGTGGTAATCAGATAGTTTGGTTTTTTAAGAATATCTCGCTTGTGCCCCATCAGTAAATCCATACTCACTACCAGCATTGATTATAATATATCAGTAAAAAAACTCAAAGATTTTATAAACTTGTGACTAACCTTTTCCCATCTGTTTTTGTGGTTCTGACCCTTCCTTTGTCTTCATTTTGCCATGAACGACATATTGTTCCATTTTGGAAGATTTATGTTTCATAAAAAATACAAACTTATACAAAAATTTATCTGCAATATAATTTCTTAAAATAAAGTTCTCTTTACTGCAATATAAGGCAGTTCCATAAGTCCAAGCCTTGGAAAATCTTTTTTTCATCTGAAACCCCATTCGTTTAATAACCTCCATAATTAAAATTATTATTTTGTGGAGTATTAAACAGTTATTTCATAAAATTTATATTATTAATAATAACAAATGTTTGAGTTATTTTTAATCAATTTAAATCTAAAATTTTCAATATAATCATGATTACATTTTTCTGATTATTATACCATGTTGACGCCTATGAAAGATTGATCAGTTTTGTTTGGGTGTCGTATTATTAACTGTGTTAGGGAAATTTGAACTCTAAGGTTGATGTTATGGAAATTTGAAATACAAGTGACGTCACTTTGTATAAATCGTGACGTGCAACGTTTTTACTTTGAAAAATAGTATACTCGTATATAAATATTGTATTAACATTCTAGGGCGAAGAAAAGTATATTAGAAACAAACAAAATTTTATTTAATAAATTTAAAAAAATCCATATAAAAAGATGTTTCTAAAAATATAATTTTTTTGGTCTGTCTAGTAACTAACACGTCTTCCAAAATCCTTTTATCCAATTCTAAAATAGATTTCGTAAGTTTTGCATTGTACATATTCAATAAAAAGTTAGGTAAATATTAAAAGTCCAAAATAACCTCAAAAGCATTAGGACACTGCATTGAAATTGGACATTTAAAAATAATAAATAAGAAGGAAGGGTGGTGGACTATGGGAGAAGTTGACGATAAATAAAAATTCTATTAATTCTCTAACAATATGAACAATTCTTGCATATATCTAAATACTTCATAACCATTTTAAATCTGACACTAAAGCAATATGATCAGACGGAAAGACAACACTGGGCAACGCAACGTTTGCTGTGACTTCATCATGACTGGGCATAGGAATTACTTGTGAAACTAAAAAGTTATCTTTTTCATAATAAATGTAGTCCAAGCACCCGTTAAAATTTTCAGTATAGTTTGTATATCTAGGCGTACCACAGGCACTGGCCAAGTTGAACGGTTGTTTTAAATCCACACCCGTAACAGCTTCTTCTTTATCTGAAATATTACTCAAGATTAATATATTGTTTGCATTTTATTCATGGAAAAAGTTGTGGCAATAATAAATTATAAATATATATTTTATGGGTATAAAACACAAAATAGACGAGCAGTAACTAATATTTCAAATTAGATAAAAGTAAAAAAGGTTTATAGACCCCAACAATTATAGAGGTATTAATCTACTGAACACCGCACTTAAGCTTACCACAAAAGTCCTAACCAACAAAATCAATAAACCATACTCTGTCTCAAAGTGACTAGTCTGTACAGGGAAAGATATGCAATGCTAACCTTATGAGAATTTCGCCAAGACGTTGCCAGTTTTAGGCAGTTAGCAATGGCGTTCTCTATTGTCTATCTTTCAAAATAAACGTAATAAACCAGGAGTTTTCAACAAGTCCTCATGAACAATTTTATGTAATTTACAAATATCGTTTGCTAATAATTTTACATAATACTATAGGTACAATATTTGTTTCTAATAGTAACTTATCAACTTTTATCTTTTATTAGTAGCAGTAGTATAACAAAATGTGCATTAAATAAGCATGTATTTCAAAGTTTTTTAAATACTTTTTTCTAAGTTATTCGGTAATTAAGAAGCAATTAGAGTAATTCTTGTACAGAATATGTTTAAAAGCTTGATACATCCAGTGCCTTAATTAGTCTTTATTTGTTCTTCGGAGCGAGTAAACATATTCGGGTTACGATTATTTGTACCATTTTGGATGTACTGTTACTGTTACGTTATTGTTATTATTTGTTGGTGGTTGTTGTTGTGATTTGCTGTTGGCAATTATTGTTATTTTCTGTTGTTGGCTATTGCTTTATTTGACGCCGAATTTTTACCGCAAAATGGAGGAAATTGTTCAATGGAAACGTGGAAAAGCTTTGAAACTTTCAGAGAAGCAGATACTAATGAATATTATTATTATCATCTTAATCAGGATAAGAACGATTCTGCATCAAGTGTAATTAGGAAAGTGTCAGAAATGAGTGGTGTTTGCGAAAAGACTCTGTTTTACATACGACAGGAATATTCATCACCTGCTGGATTACAATCTCCAAAGAGCAGGCCCAAGAAGCAAAAGTTGGTAATTCTCGTGACAACAAGAACGATGAAGGTGTCAGGGGCCAAATAGTTCATCAATTTTTTCGTGACAACATACAACCAACAATCGACACCATATTAGCTGTTGTAAATGTCGAAGAAACTTTGCCCAACTTTTCACGGGCTACGCTACATCGCTTGCTAAGTGACATGGATTTTGTGTTTATAAAACGTGACAGAAATTCAATTTTGATTGAAAAACCAGAAATCATCTCGTGGCGTCATCGTTATTTAGGCGTAATTCGTAAATACCGTGCAGAAGGATACAACATAGTGTATTTGGATGAATAATGGGTAAATATCGGGCACAGTGTAAACAAAGAATGGGTTGATAAAACCCATCGCGATGCTTTTGTTCGTGGTCTGACAACAGGATTAAAAGCTTCAACAGATCGTGGTGCACGGTTCATTTTATTGCACGCAGGATACACCAGTGGATTTGTTGATGGAGCAGAGCTCAGGTTTTTGGCAAAGAAAAATACTCAGGAAAACCACGACGAAATGGATGGACCGACCTTCGACGATTGGTTCGAAAATAACTTAATGCTAAATTTGCCAGAACAAACTGTGGTAATGGACAATGCCTCCTATCACAGCAGAAAGTCAGAACAAATTCCCAACAGTTCAACATCAAAAAAAGATATTCAAGAATGGCTTCTGTGAAAGGACCTATTTTTTGAAGAACTACTACCTAACTACCTAAAATGCGAGTTACTTGATGTACTTAAGGCCTTCAAAGCAAAATATAACAGGTACATAATAGAAGATATTGCCAAAAAGCACAATGTGGAGATTCTGAGGCTTCACAGAAAAGGCTATCGAGTACAATAAACAAGGATATCTATGTTTTACAGATGCTGACAAAAGATTTCGATCGCATCCAAGTCGAAGACGTCTTACATTTACTGTACAAGAATCATACCAATCAATATTATACAAACCATTAAAAACATCTACCCCCATAATCGAATACAGGCAAAGATAAATGGAAAACTAACACAGTGTATACCAGTACAAAGCGGGGTCAGACAGGGTGACTCGTTAAGCCCACTTCTCTTTAATATAATAATGGACCGAATAATACAAGCAGTACGTAAAGGTCATGGCTACAGAATGGGGAACAAAGAAATCCAAATATTATGTTATTCAGACGACAGATGAACACATATCTTCAATACAACAGCTAAGAAATACAATATGATAATATCAGCAGAAAAAACCAAATATATGACAACATCTAAATACCCACTACGGTGTAAAGTCGAAATTGATGGAAAAATAATAAAGCAGGAAGCAAGGTTTAGATATCTGGGAATAGATATAACTAGTTACGGAGATGTTGAAGAAAAAGTACGACAACAAAGCTTAAAAGGAAGTAAAGCGGCGGGATTTCTTAATGACACAATCTGGAAGAACAAACACCTAAGACAAGACACAAAAACAAGAATATATAAGCCGCAATTAGACCTATATTAACATAGACTATATTAACAAGACCTGACACATCTAAAACGAGACGACTACTAGAAACAACAGAGATGAAAATACTCCGACGAATATCAGGGAAAAGTCCGTTGGATAGGGAGAGAAGCGAAAACATAAGAAGAGCATGTAATATAGAAGACATAAATGGATGGGTGACAAAACGAAAACAGTAGTGGAACGAACACATCAATAGAATGGCAGAGGATAGAATAGTACGAATAGCACGAGATAAGTCAACAAATGGACGAAGAAGTATTGGCAGACCAAGAAAAGGATGGTGCGACAATTTAAACAATTTAGGAGGCTAATATTGAAGAAGAAACAGACTTTAAAGCCTACATACAAGGAAGAAGAAAATTTTTAATCAAAATTAATGAATAGACACTTCTACTGGTCAGTCTTTTCTTGTCAATTAAAGAATTAAAAGTAACTTTATTTCATATATTAATAATTAGTAGAAATTTTCAAACCCAGTGAATAGACCTTATTTTTCTTTATTCTTAACATTACTATCATATTGAACATACTTGTCATACAAACTATGTTGTTCTCATTTACTTACTACTTTGATAATCGATAAAATCGCTTGGGACTGCTCCTTCTGTATACAGTTTATATATTCCACATTCAGGAACGCTGTTAAAATCTCCGCAAAATATTAGCGATATCCTCTTGGATGTCTAAAAAATTACATACATAAGTATATTATATAGGACTTTTAAATATTAATTACATCGCAATATATATATATATATATATATATATATATATATATATATATATATATATATATATATATATATATATATATATATATATATATATCGGAAAAAGGAGTACGACCGTCAAATTCCAATATATTCCACTACTCCATATACTCCACTCTGTTGAGTGATCCTTTTATATATATATATATATATATATATATATATATATATATATATATATCACTCTCAATTATCTTCTTTTACAGAAAAGTGTGTATTTTTGGTGAGATTTTGCTTCTTCTGTTTCTGCCGTTGCAGTACATTTTTCGTTTGTGATTTTCATTTATGTTACCATGTAGAGTACATACAGTGTGCGGCATATAAACAGCCAATTAGAAATATCTCGAAAACTAAAGGCAACTGAATCATGAAAATTGGATAGAAGGGATTTTGAAGATTGAACTGTTTAATGAAAATATTTTCATATATTTACTACTTCCGGTTATACTAGTCTTACTCCCTCTTATCTGCCATCCAAAGTCTCTCTAAAGATTTCTTCAGAGTATAGATTAAAAAGACTGGGTGATAAAACACAACCCTGTCGTACTCCACATTTGATGGGTAGTTTTTCAGTACGACTATCTCCAATTTGGATAGAGGCTACGTGATTGTAATATAAGTATTTTAGCAGTCTTATATTGTATCGTATATCGAAAAGTGTATCGTGTTGTACCAGGTCAAATATTTCAATATCGTCCTCTAATTCAACTTAATTCTGTTTCCCCTAGCTCTTGTAAGCTTTTTTGCCTTTTAAATATTTGTTTCTCGTCTAGATAATTATGAATATATTTCTGCCGCCTCTTCTGTTCTGCGAGATATAATGCTGATGCCATCGGCTGATGCCATGCTCTTTCTCTGTCAGTACCAATGACAAAAGAAAAAAAGAATAGTTTTTAAAAGGCCATAGAAAATGATCCGGTTTTGACTCAAGTGAAAAAGTTTTGTTTATCAAACTGGCCTAAAAATCCTCATAAACTTGAACCTGATGTAAAATATTACTATAACCTTAAAGAACATATTCATTTGTCAGATAATTTGCTTTTCTTTGATAAAAAAATTATTATTCCTGTTCAACTGAGAAAAGAAATGCTGTGTCTAATACATGCTGCACATTTTGGTATACAAAAATTAAAACTAAGGGCTAGGGAAATAATGTACTGGCCAAAAATGTCAAAAGACATTGAATTTTATATTGAAAACTGTGAACCATGTCAGTTGAACAAACCTTTAAATCAAAAAGAAACGCTGATTAATCACAAGCAACCTGAAAGGCCATAGCAGTTTTTATTCTCAGATTTTTTAGATTTTAAGTCAAAAAGTTATCTTTTAATTGTTGATTTGTACTCTCACTGGATAGAGTTATTTCCTGTGAATGACAAAACTGCTAATACGGTTATAAGGTGTTGCAAAGAAACTTTTTCAAAATTTGGTATCCCAGATATATTTTTTGCAGATAATGTTCCTTTTAATAGTTTTTGTATGAAACAATTTGCTCGGGAATGGAATTTTGAATTCTCAATTCTCTAGAGTTCTCAAGTCCTGATCACCACCAATCGAACGGTTTTGCAGAAAAATATGTTCAGATATGTAAAAATATGCTAAAAAAAATTAGTAACGTAAACGAGCTGCAAAACTGTTTGATGGAATACAGAAATACAGATTTCTTCTGAAAATTTAAAATCTAATATTGTTGATCCACAAGTAGTTTCAGAAAAATTAAAAGCAAATTCACAAAAAATGAAAGATTACTATGATAAAACAGCTAAAAACTTACCTACTCTTCAGAAAGGCGATAATGTGTTATTCCGGAAGAATAATTCATGGCAAAAAGGTAAAGTAGTTGATAGGTATAATGAGAGGTCATATTTGTTAGTTGATACAAAAAGCCAACAATTCAGAAGAAATCGAAAGTTATTAAATAAAACCAACCTGCCAGTTACAGTTTCTGAGTCTTATTTTTCAAATTTATTATATGATGATGCTCCTAGTTCTAGTTTGATGTGCCATGTTGAAAATAATGAGACTGTAAATATGTCATCTGAGATGGAATCTGCTGATGAATTAGAAAACACAGTCATAGAAACACAAAATACCTCAACTGAAACAGCACAGAATGAGGACTCCAAAGATAATGCTAATTGCTGTGACAATCCTGTTGGTAATAATCAGGAACAGCCGTCCATCTCAGGTAACATACATCAAGTAACTGAGAGTAACATAGAGCTGGTGTTTGAGAGTGACTCAGAAACTAATAAAAATAGTGAAATAAACGAATACTCTTCCGACAGACGTAAAACTAAAAAACCAAATTATCTTAAGGACTTTTCTTTGTATTAATGTTTTTGTTAAAATAAAAAAAAATATGTTTAAAATAATGTTGTATGTTTAAGAATTAAGTTTTATGTTTAGATTAGAATCTAAGTTGTATTTTAGACATTACTGTTTGTGTTAGTCTGTATGCAGCTTAAGATCATGAACTTTAGTGTGTAGACAGCTTAAGCTGACAGCGGACAGAGAACAATGATGGCCGCTAGTTAGAGCCCGTAATGTAAGTTATATGTTTTAAAAAAAGAAAATAAAGTTCTCCAGAATAGTTATTTTTATAATATCCACCACCAACGAAATAAAACAGGCGGAAATCGGTAGTGATTTATTTGTGAGGAGATAAGCTCTTCCTATATTCAGCTGTCTTAACACATATTAAGCGTCAGGTTGGCCCGCCTCATTGCTTTAATACTTTGACTATTGAAAAGTTCTCAGTGAGCTTATTTTCTACTCTGACAGTTGCTGTTGACGAGTCTATTGTTGCTTTTACCAGTCGGATGTATTTTTGGAGGATGTTAAAGCTCTGCAATATTTATATAACTTGTATCTATTAATTGAGTCGTAGGACTGTTGAAAATCTATGAATATGTTGTAGACATCAGTACGGTCACGTCAATCCCAGCGGAATCGGGGAAACGGGTTGATAGGATGATCGCATTGTTCGGATTACCTATGACTTTTTTATTGGGAAAAGAAAAACTGCAAAAACACAATGAAAATGCTTTATGTATATTAATAAAATAATATATTATACAAATATATATATATATATATATATATATATATATATATATACAGTAATTACTATTTTAATGGGAATGGGCCACAATTTAAGGTTAAAATACGTTAATTGACGTTTCAGTCTCCACTTCGGGAATAAAAATTTCCGAACCTTGATTCAGTAATTATTGTCGTATTGTCTTTAGCCAGCGAAGCGACAATGCTAGCCGTCCCCACAACAAGCAAACGAAGTTTGTGAGTCCCTGAAGCATTTGCACAAACAATAAAGGTGATTCTTCCTTTCAAATTTTTTCGACCAGGAGCGTTCTTTTCTTGAGATGACACCAATGTATGGTAACGAGTTTCTCACCAATAATTTTGAGATGTTATCGTCGGAGCGGGATAAGTATTTATAACATTATACTTATCCGCTGGACGTTTTATAGGGGCATTGTCTTGAAAAAGACAATGCCAAAGGATTGTTTATGTGTAGGGAATAAAACAACCATTTCTGAGTAGAAAAAAACTCAGCTTCAGATTCTTTTTAAACTTTTTGAACTGAATGTAAATCGAAAAATGTCCCATATTTAAAGTATTTAACTTTTATATGAAACTTTTACGATTTTTAACCAATAGAATTTATTAAAACTTCCAGAAGGAGGGACGATGCACGTCGATGCGCGAGATTGCGGCGCTCGGCGACATCCCCCCCCCCGCTTTGGAGACTCTGAGGCTGATAAAAAAAAACTGATTTTATTAAAAGCATTAAGAAAACAGAATTTTTACAAGTCAAAAAATAAATTTAAAAAAATAATGCATAAAAATGGCAAAATCGAATGTTCAAATGTTATCAAAGTCATTACTTACAGTTTTCTTAACACAAAACTACACTCGCGTGGCACTACACTGCACAAAAACACTCACATACGGTGGTCGGTGTTGTGGCCGGCTTCTGCAGGTCCATCCTCGGCGATGTGGTCGGTCGTCGGCCGCTACGTCCCGTTCTAGCCCTTTAGTACCGTCTGCATGTCGCCGGTGGGTCGTAGGCGAGTTTACCTGAGCCTCCGTGGTGACTCTGGACCACATAATGGTAGGACAGGCAGGGACTGGCTACTCCGGGGACATCCATCGTGCATCAGGTACGGCATCGAAGTCCGGTGGCTCGAAAAATCTAACACATCGACGGTTTCAAGCTGCAGAAGGTGGATATCGGCATATTAGTGTATAACATACTAATATCCGATCCTCTCCCCGCTGTTTCTTGTTGCAGACCACGTGTAGGAATTTCTGCGATGTTGGAACGCTAGCATGACAACTCTGAACACTCAGAGCGAGGTTACGTTCGAATTTGTTGGGCGCCATATCGTCGGAGCGGGATAAGTATTTATAACATTATACTTATCCGCTGGACGTTTTATAGGGGCATTGTCTTGAAAAAGACAATGCCAAAGGATTGTTTATGTGTAGGGAATAAAACAACCATTTCTGAGTAGAAAAAAAACTCAGCTTCAGAGTCTTTTTAAACTTTTTGCAGAGTCCTCCAACGAGGAGCCCTGCGGCTACTCCGTAATAGTAAAACCACGACTGAATGTAAATCGAAAAAATGTCCCATATTTAAAGTATATTTAACTTTTATATGAAACTTTTACGATTTTTAACCAATAGAATTTATTAAAACTTCCAGAAGGAGGGACGATGCACGTCGATGCGCGAGATTGCGGCGCTCGGCGACAATGTCTAACTCCATGACATCGTTTGAAGTTGTCCAACCAACCCTTACATGCGCTAAAAACTTGGTTGCGATTTGGTGACATTTCACGATGCAAATGACGGGCTTTTTCACACAATATTTCACCACTCACCGGAACACGATTTCTCTGCTAATGTAGGAACTACATGAACAACGCACTTTCTACCTTCCCTGGTCGCTTTCCGTTTGGCTGACGAACTTTTCGATCTTGTCTTTGTTCTTTTTAATGTCCGTAATGGTAGATTTGTCAATACCGAACTGTTTTGAAATGAAACTGTAGCTAGTTGCTTGCTGTATTAACTTGAGAATCTTGTTCATTTGTTCAATAGTCGAAGTCACGTGCTTTCGTGGAGCCATCGTGATACGAAGGCACTCTTCTTCTTTGTCAACCATTTTCCATCCACTCCTGAATGTATGTCTCTCCCAATTGCTTCCATCTTTCTCTATCTTGCGCCAATCTAATCCACTGTTTGCCTGCCACTGCTCTTATGTCATCTACCCATCTTTTTTGAGGTCTTCCCATGCTTCTTGTTGTCGTCCTTGGTCTCTATTCTAGAATTCTCCGTGTCCACCTGTTGTCATTATATCGGGCTACGTGACCTGCCCAGCGCCATATCATTTTTATAATTTCTTCCACAATATCCCTAATCTTCGTTCTACGTCTTATCTCGGTGTTTCTAATCTTGTCTCTTAGTGATATTCCAAGCATGATTCGTTCCATTGCTCTTTGCGTTGTTTCTAATTTTTTAGTAGATTTTTTGGTAAGGGCTACTGCCTATAAGCCGTAGGTACAAACTGGTAGTATACATGTGTTATACACCTTTTTCTTTAAGTTTACAGGAATGGAGATGTTTTTCAAGATATATGCTAATTTGCCGAAAGCGCCCCATGCCAGTTGTGTTCTTCTTTTAATCTCAGCATCTTGATTTGGTTTTCCTAGTTTGATAACATGACCTAGATATACATAATGTTCAACATTGTCTATGGTATGATTTTGTATTGTTATATTTGTCTGGTCTCGGCTCAGTATTTTTGGTTTGCTGTAGTTCATTTTTAAGCCTACCGCTTCTGAAACTGCATTTAATTGTTGTAACATATCATTTAGTTCTTGGATATTATCGGCTATTAAAACTATGCCATCTGCGAAACTCAAATGGTTTAAGTATGATCCATCGACGTTGATACCCTTATTGTTCCATTCCAGTTTCTTAAAAATATCGGGGTAGCGGGTAGGAACTCCTCTGGATAGACGAAAGCACTAACAGAAGTAAATAATTTGTAAGTAGGTAAATTATACCAATACACAAAAAATGAAACAAAAAATAATGTATTAACTACCGGGGAACAATACTCCTAAACACCATCTACAAAATCCTTGCAAACATCCTGCTAGAAAGAACCAAAACATACCAAGAAGAAATCGTTGGAGATTATCAATGCGGATTTAGACCGGGCCGCTCTACTATTGACCAGATATTCACAATAAAACAGATAATGGAAAAATGCTGGGAGTTTGATCGTAAGCTTCATCAGATGTTCATAGATTTTAAACAAGTATTTGATAGAGTATGCAGAGCAAGACTGTGGACAGCGATGCAGGAACTTGGCTTTCCAAAAAAACTAGTCAGGTTGATACGGATGTGTAGGGAACAGTTACGATGTAAGGTGAGAGTTGGACAATACTCGGAGACATTTGAAATAAACAATGGACTAAAACAGGGAGATGCACTTTCACCACAACTCTTCAACTTAGCTCTGGAGCACATAATCAGAAGTGCAAAAATCGAAAAACCGAATACAGCATTTAATCGAGAAGGACCAAACTTACTACTGGCATTTGCAGACGATATCGATCTAATAGGAAACACACGATTAAGGATGAAGGAGACTTTCGTGAGGTTCGAGAAGGAAGCAGAGAAGATGTGGCTCCAAATCAACGAAAACAAGACGAAATATATGTATATGAGCCGCAATAACCAAAGCAGAGACAGAATTGGTCAGAACATCACCATCGATGACTTTAACTTTGAGCTCGTTAGAGAATTCAAGTATCTTGGAACAACAATAACTAAAGACAATGACCGATCACAAGAAATAAACAACAGGATTCAGACCGGCAACAGATGTCTTTTTGCCCTCCAAAACCTTATAAAACCGAAACAACTAACAAGATGTACGAAGATGCAGGTCTATAAAACAATCATAAGACCCGTTGTGATGTATGGAAGCGAAACGTGGACATAACAAAGGCAAACGAAGAGAGACTATGTGTTTGGGAAAGAAAAATCCTAAGGAAGATCTTTGGTCCCGTGCTGGATGAAACATCAGGACAATATAGAATAAGAACTAACAAAGAGCTCGAAGAACTTTACCCAGACGTCAACATCATAAAAGAAATAAAGTCCAGAAGACTCCAATGGGCAGGACACCTCAGGAGACATTCTGACGAACGAACAGTAAGACTGGTGTGGGAGGAAGTCCCAACTGGAAGGAGACCACGCGGACGCCCTCGTCTCCGATGGCGAGATAATATAGCAGGAGACCTAAGCACTATGGGAGTGGAGAATTGGATGGAGTTGCTCAAGACAGAAAACAGTGAAGGCATGTTGTCGAGTCGGCTAAAACCCACGAAGAGTTGTAACGCCACGGAGTAAGTGAGGGTAAATAATAATATAAATGAATGACTATGATTTAAATTAATTATGCATATTATATGATTACCTTTTGTTTTAGTGATGTAATAAAATTTTCCAAATACCTAATTGCCAATCCCCCTTGTAATAACCTTATATGATCTGCATCTGGATGAAAATAAAGATGAGTATTAGCCACTACTACAATATCCTCCCGATTTAATACATCTAGAACATTAACTTGCATTGTAGTAGCCCTGTCTAAAATCCTTTTAGATAGATTTTCATTCTTAGCGATTTTTTCCCATATATCTTCAAACATTTTGTCATGAGATATATGTTCTGAGAACACAAATCTGTGGGACTCCAGCAGATTAAATTTCTTTTTATAATAGAATAAGGCTAGTCCCTCTGCAACTTCATTTCCTTTGGTAAAAAAGTTGCTTCCATATCCTAAATAATTAAATACCGGATCTAAGTCATACTGAAAAACCTTTCTGTCTACTTCTTGTAGACAAATAATGTCAGAATTGTACCCTAAAACAAAAAATATATTGTATTTTTTACGTAAAATTTAAATATTCCAATTCACAGTTCAAGAAAAATTTCAAGTACTTAATCACTTTTTACCTCTGAAAATTTTAAAAAGGAAACAATATAAAAAAAGGCAATTAATGTGAGTTATTTAAGACAGAAAAAAGTGATATGCTTTGAAAAAAAAAATATATTTTATAATATACTACAGTAGGCGGTAGGCCAGTTACGAAGAACCAGCGCAAATCCGTATTTTCGTACCGATTCGATTCAATCACTGTCCACCTCTTGGGGTACAGTCGGCACACGCCACATGCGCGAGGTTGGATCTTCCTATGTGGCGTTTACAGTATTATCATTTTGATATAGAAGTGGCTACATAACTACATTACGATAAATACATACATATGTATTTTGCTCCTGCAATAAACCTGAAATTTCAAAAATAATTCCAAATAGCAAAAATAAACAAATAAAAGGAGATCTCGCAATTGGGAACAAATAGAGGTTCAGCAAAAACATAAGTCCACGTCAGAATCTCTCCCAATGTTACCATATATGATAAAAACAATAATTTCAATGATAGATAGAAGTAAATTCTCTGAACCGTTGAGTGGTAAAACTTTTGACGCTATCTAAGAATAATACAATTAAAATTAATAATAATAAAAATTAAAGACAGAAGCATCTGATATGGAATTACAGCAACGCAAAAGAGATAGAAAGTACCAAGAGAAGAGTATTAGATGAATAAAAAGATATGAAAATAGAAAATAAAAAATTAGAAGAAATATTAGGAGCACAAATGCTGTGATGAAACCTAAGAATAAAGAGGGAAATCATAGGCAAAATCTATGTCATAAAGAGCACTGAAGACAAAGACAAGGAAGAAAATAAAGAGACGCAAGCAAAAATAATATACTAATGAACATATTAGAAACAAAAATTAATCCAGAAATAGACATTGATGAGTTTAGAAGAATGATGCGACATAACTAAGAACAATTTAAAATAGATCATATCATTTAAGAGATCATAAATAGATCATATTAGAAAAATTAAATTCCTTTGGTTTCAGTCATCAATCCTTACAATGGTTTAGCAGCTTTTTAAAAAAACAACACACAAGTGAGAATAGGTTGTTTTAATCAAAATATAATTCATGTGACATCAGTAGTACCCCAAGGAGCTCACTGTTCACCCTTGTTATTTAATATGATTGTGAATGATACATCAGAGTGTTTAAGAAATTGTGATTTCTTGATGTTTGGAAATGATTTAAAATTATTTAAATCTGTAGATTCAAATGATGATATAAGTTTAATTCAAGAGGATTTAGACTGGTTGAGTATTTGGTGTGAGAATAATATTTTGCATTTAAATGTTGCTAAATGCTGTTATATAAGTTTTTTAATAGACATTTTAAAAAATATGACACTTCTTATACAATTAATGATAATGAAGTGTCAAAACAATAAAATACTTAATAGTCACATTTGATTAATAGTTGCGTTTTGTACAATATATAAATGATGCAACAGTTAATTCATTAAAATCTTTGGGCTTTTTCATTCACAACTCTCTGAGACTATCTGATTGGGCTTTAAAAATGGTTTATTATGCTTTGGTTGTATCTAAAGTGAAATATGCATCTATTGTATGGTCTCCACAATACCAAGTTCATTCTATTACATATAAATTAAACATACACATTATTAATCATGATTAAACATAGACTTTAAAAACACTCAACATGAATCTATTAAAAACCTGTAAAGATAACTAGTTTAGTATTATTTATTTCACTTAGTTTGTAAGCAATTAAAGAGATTGATTTTTACACTGTATGTTAACATATATTTTTTTGTAATGGGGGTATATTAATAAATAAAAAAAATATGCACTTGCAAAATACAATAAATATTTTTTGGATAAAATAAGTTAGTTTAGAATTTAATAGTTTTCCCACGTCAGACAGGCCTAAAAACATTTATTTAAGAACTTCAGTAATGAACTTTAGAACTTTCAATGTAACTCACTTGTATTGTTCCTTCTGATATATGTATAGGATCCTACCTAGACATAAACACAATTTTTTTTACAATTGTGTTTGCTGTCTTTTGCACAAAGTCAATTTTATTGTTTCCTTATCATTTTAAGTGGCAATTTTGTTCCACACAATTTTAAAATTTTATATTATAAACATAATTTTAAAAAATTAATAACAAACATGTGTTTAGAGCTCACCTAAAATTTCCTTAACCAGTAATTGCTTTCTATAATCAATTTCTAATGCATATGGTGGGCAATATGGATGCAACACTGTCCTTGTAAAATCAGAATCACAATATAAGTCTGCTAAAATGTTGTAAGTCACAATACGTAATCTACAAGAAAAAAAGTAAATAAATACATATTAAATGAGTAAAACAGGTTTAGTACAAGTATTGGGGAGATCATTTACCAGGGAGTAATTATTACATAGTAACCAATTATCAATTTATAACACAACATATTTGTCAATAAAATAAAATCTTATGTGATTTTAAATTGATATAAAATATAACACTACTTTATTTCCTATTTCCCATTATTTTTAACAATTTTAATTGTGGTTGCCTTGTTTGTACTTGGTTGAATAAAATAACTGCAAAAATATAGAAAAGAAGTTAGCCTACTGAAATGAATAGATCAAAAGAGTTGTAAACTTATACTACCGAAAAAAGTGTTTTTATAAAGAAAAACTCTACATTATGAGTAAAACATACAAGTAAAATTTTAAATTTGTTATCTTATATATCAGGTACAAAGGCTAAACCATGTATAATGTCATGAAATATCAAGAAATAACAAAATCTACTTGTTAACTAGTGATTTTTAAATTGCACCATAGAACTATAATGTGGAAGTTCTTTTGTGTTCTGTCTTTTTGATATATGAATGGTCCAAAAAATTACTCTCCTTTTTAAAAATAAGATTGCACTCTGGTACTCTCTTCACATTCAGCTTTAATTTTATTCAGGATCTGAGAATTCAAGACAGTTTAATGTATTTATGTCCAGTTTTTCCTGATTCTTGCTACTGAACACTATGAGCTAACCTATGCTTTTATATCAAAAAATAATTTATTGAATACAGAGTTAGAAAACTATTTTGTTTATTTATGAACACTGGAAAAACTGAAAAAAAAATAAACAATAAAGTTTTCACCTACTCATTTTCTTTTGTCCTTTGTTTTGTAAACTGGTGTCTTAATTCAAATGGACACTGGCCTGGATTTGCTTCAACTTTACACACTGACACACATTCTACAGTGGGTCCTTCAAACTGCTCATTTTTTGGTTTGCAGGTAAGCTTCAAGTAATGATTTATGTCTTCATTTGATGGTTCATAAATATAATCATTACCAACAATAGTCCAATTTTTCTCATCTATAGATTTAGACCAAATGAACTCAGAAATTTCTTTATTTGTAAATACAACTTCAAATTTGGATGGATATGTTGGAAAGCCAGCTAGCATGGACATGGGAAGGGAGAGGTTGTCTACCCAAGGTGAGTTTACAATAACATCATATTCCTTATCCATTACCTTTAATGTTATATTATTTCCGGATTGGAATATATTTTCACATGTCACATCTTTTGAGACTTCTACTTTATTTAACAGTAATGAAACGTCAATCTTTTTTTCAGATTGTTCCCCATCTAGATTTTTTCGTCTTTTAACTTTCTTATTTATTACCTTCTCTACATTTGTCGCAACCCTAGAAGTAAAAGATTCAACATTTTCTGTTAACTTCCTGCTGAAATTAAATTGTCTATTAACTTTTAGTTCGTCATTGCTATACTTTAAAGCAATTTGGAATTGATCTCCACTATCCAAATGACGTAAATATGCTTTTTCCATATTAAAAATGTATTTGTGTATCAATCTATAAAACGACAATTTGGAATCCACTTTTGTTAATCTGTTACATCTGAAAAACATTCCTTTCTTTATATTAATTGAAATAAATCATAAATCCCTTATTTTATTATGGTCAACAAGAGAGGTTAGGTTGGTGGGAAGACGTTTAAAACGTCAAAAATAAGTCTTCAGTCTTCTTTTTCATATGTCGAATGTAGACGTAGACAAATGAGTTAATTCCCTTTTATATTGAATTACGATAATAAGGGCCACTTGCACCGCACTAGTATTAATCCTCGATTAACAAAACCACGATTAACTTATTAAATCTTAGATTAACTATTTGACTTGCACCGTCGTTTAACAAAACTAGATTAATTTTAAGCCATATTTCTGGTGATTTTTCTATAGGTTGGCACTGTGACTATGTTCACATGTTTAAGTATAACCTTAAATTACTGAAAATTATTGTTTTTTGACTGTGCTGTGCGTGGTTTTTCTAGTAGTGCATCAGTGATATCTCTGTAGTGCATACTATCAAAATTTTTCGTTTTTAAAATGGCAGATAAGGGAAAAGTATCCAGAAATCGCTCACGCAATTTTACGTTGGAAGAAAAAACGTATTTATTTACACTTGTTGCAAATTATAAATCAATTTTAGAAAATAAGAAAACCGGGCATTTCGCAATTGCGGGCACTCTAACCTAACCAAATATATTTTCCTCAAGGCACTGCGTCACAGTGTTGCCGTATTTATTTTAGTAAAATATGTATATGAATGCTACAAATATAAATTTACTTTTACGAAATAATAATTTGTGTTATGAGAAGCTACAAATTTTAAATAAGTATAAAACTTGCCGTATTTTTTTTTGTAAAATGTATATGAAGGTTTAAAATATAAGTTACTTTTACGAAATTATAATTTGTATTATGAGAAGCTACAAGATTTAAATAAGTATAAAACAAATATTTTCTTTGTTTATAAAACAAATTTCTTATATAAAAAAAGTTTGTTTCTTATAAAACAAATATTTTGTAAAATCTTTGAATTTTTATATAATTTCAATGCATTTCTATTATATACGGTAATTTAATTATTACTATTAATTTTTTATATGATTTTAATCAATTTTATTGTATATGCATTTGATTATTATCTTTAATTTAACTAAAATCTATACTATTAATTTTTTATAACACTCAACATTTGTATAATATTATGTGAGAGTATGAAAAAACTGGAGACTTGGCAACTCTGACACCATTTAAGCGAACGTTAAATGTCATTATAAATGCTTGGTTAGGTTAGAGTGCCCGCAATTGCGAAATGCCCAGAAAACCCATGCAGTTACCAATCAAGAAAAATTGAAAACTTGGGAGAAGATAGCAAGAGAATTTAATTCAGTGTCTCTGGGAAATATTCAGAGACCAATGGAGGTGTTAAAGCGGTTTTACGAAAACCAAAAAAAGGAATTGCGGAAAAGATGTGCCAATAAAAAGATGCATATTAAAGGCACTGGTGGTGGCCCTCCACTTCCAGAAATAAATGATCCAACCGAAGATTTGCTCCTCTCCATAGTTAACGAGAAAACAGTCAGTGGCATAAATATACCATTTGGAGGCGACGTTAACAGTGAATCTGAGGATGAAGATGAAGTTCAAAATAGGTCAGTGAAAACTACCACAAATAATAAAATAGAAGTTGTGTATGACCAACCAAGCCAGCCTGATCAATCAATATTTTATGTAAGTTAATAAAATGCCACCATTCATAACTACTTTTTAAATTAAACTTGTTAATTTTATTTTATAGGATATGGAATTAGATCTTGTTGATACTCCTGAAATAGGAAATCAAGGACCTTGTACAAGTACAGAATTGTCACAAGACAATGTAAGTAATGTAACATTATTTTAACAGTGTACATACATAGGTACTATGTTGTATTTGTTGAAAATTTAGATTGAATTTAAAAAAATGTTTAGTTTTAAATACAAATATAACCAACAGATACATAGTTAAACATTTGCATTTTATTTATTTGTATTGATTTTAGATTCAGAAAAACAAGACTTGGGCGTCATACACACCTTCAGATTTAGCCAAAAAGATGAGCTCCCCACTGAAACGAAAAATTGCAAATGTTTTATTAAATTCTCAAGACGAAAATATCCCTGGTAAGAAAATTAAGCAAGTGTTTTGTAAAAAAAAATTAAAAATTTTAATTTAAGGGCCTTCAACAATCAATAAAGAAACACCAACAAAAAGCTCTCGAAGAAGACCTGCAGTAGTGGTGAAATCCCTAACTTCTTCAGATATAGCTGCAAAGTATAACAAATTATTGGACTACCGTTTAGAAATAGTTGCATATGAAAAAAAGGAATTGGAGCAAAGACTGCAACAGTATAGTACCAAACATGAAAAAGAAATGTTGCTCTTAGATGTTCAACTTGAAATCGAAAGAGAAAAGTTAAAAAGAATTAAGAGATCTGATGATCTGATAGAAAATAGTAAAAAATAGTAAAAGTAAATGTATTGTTTTTTTGAATAAAAGTGTATTTAGCTATATTGTATTTTTTTAACACTATATTATCAATTCATATCCTCACCTCCAAGAAGTGTGATATTGATCGCACGGGTGAACCTTGGTAAACCTGAGCAACCCTACTGGAGATTGGGTGACATCGTTATCATAACTAGGTCCACACAGTCTCTGACTGAAGCATTCCAGTCGTTGAGGGAATCTGCATTGAGAATGGAACTAAATATAAATGTTCAAAAGATCAAATATATGTGTTGCACCAGGTCAAACAACCCGACACCTACAAGAATAATAATTGATGATCTAGAACTGGAAGGTATTGACACCTTCATATACCTAGGCTTGCTGTTGACTAAAGATAACAACGTTAGCGAAGAAATTAAAAGAAGAATAGTGTTACTATGGCTTGAGAAGACAGATGGCCTCAAAGCTACCTAGAAAAATTAAAGTGACTGTCTATAAAACACTAATAAGACCAGTGTTAACTTAAGGATCAGAAACGTGGTCACTTACAAAGAATGAGCAAGAACTGTTTAAAACATTCGAGCGAAAAATTCTAAGAAGGATATATGGAGGAATCAAAGAGCAAGGTTTGTGGCACAGGCGTTACAACTTTAAGTTGTATAGAAGTTTTGGGGAACCTGACGTAAAATTCATTAAGGTAGTATGCCTTAGATGGACAGGACACATAATCAGGCGAGAGGAAGATGCCACAATCAGAAAAGTTTTTGACAGAAGAGGGCCAATAGGTCAACGAGCCAGAGGAAGACTGAGACTTGGGTATCTAGACAACCTAGAGGATGATATAAAATCCACTGGAGTTAGAAGATGGAGAAGAGTTGCCAGTGACAGGGGTGAATGGAGGATTGTTCTGAAGAAGGCTATGGCTCATAAAGAGCTCTGATGCCACTGATGATATATTATCTAATCAAATTAGTTAACACACTGTAAATATACATAAAAATATTGATATGTTTCAGAGAAAGTTCACAAGTATATACTAGGTATTAATTGGAAGAGCCATAACAACAAACAAAATTAAAAATAGCTGTTACAGATTTTTTATGAACATATCTTTATTTACAAATAGGTATGCCTAATTTATAAATAAAACTTAAATAAACGCACAATAAAATGGTATCACTGAATATTAAAGTAGTTCATAAAAGGTTACTATTCCTGTTAAAAATGGAAACTACATAGATCAAATCATATTCAAATAAATTGAAATAGTCCTAAACGCATTGCTATTTTAGCTATAAGTTAGCAAAATATCCATTAATTAGTTGGTGTCTGTAACCTTCATTTTCTACACCTTGTTCAGGAATGTCTTGCATTTGACCCATATTGATAAGGTAATTTAATTCCTCTTCATCTATATCAAATGGGTTTGGGGGATTGGGTTCATGCATATCTTTTGCAATGTTGTGTAAGACTGCTGTGGCAGGTATGATAGCAAAGATCGTGTTCATTTTTAATCGAATCCCATATGCCAACACAGGAAATCGACGTTTCCAGACTCCTATTGAACACTCTACTTTGTTCCGTGTTCGAATAAGAGACTCATTATATAGAGCCTGTGCTCTGTTTATGGGGTTCGCCAATGGGGTAAGAAAATAATTTCTTACTGCATATCCACTGTCACCTGAAATAAAATAAACAAAGTATAAATAAACAACATAGTTTTGTAAAACCATTTATAAATATAATAATAAAACAGGTATATCACTTGTACTGGTACAAAAATCAGAGAGGGAATGTGAGATTTCCATTGCAATATTGAACTTACCCAATAAAACACAATTTGGAAAAGACCCCTCTTCAAATTTACGTCGAATTCTGCAATTATTAAAAATAGTATTATCGTGGACCGAACCTGGCCATCTTCCAACAACATCCAAAAATTTTAGGGATGCATCACATATCACCTGAACGTTTATAGAAAAGTATCCTTTTCTATTCCTATAAACTTCAGCATCATCACCTCCTACAAATTTGATTATTTTAATCTTGAGTTACCAAAAATATTTTTTTGTGTGTAGAAAAAATGTACAGTAGTTTACCTGGAGATTGAAGTTTGACATGAGTGCCATCAACCACACCGATCACTCGAGGAAATGCTGCTCTCTCATAGAATTCTGTATGAATTTTAAGTCTTTCTTCAGGTGTTGGCATTTTTACAAAGTCTCTATAAAGTTGTGCCAATATTATAGAAACTCGTTCTATTATTCGACTAGTTGTGGATTCATGCATCCCCATAAAGTCTGCAACAGCAGCCAAGTGTCCCGAACTTGCATAGAATCTTAGGGTTGCTAGAAGCTGATTTATGGGTGAAACACTATTGTTCCTAAAAAAACAATTGTCAGTTTCTTTTTCTAAATTAAATATCATATTAAAGTCCCTTATTCAAATTTAATATTCACCAAAAAGTAATCGTTGTATGCTTAATACTTACAAGTCATGGGGGTATTCTAGTCGATCTTCCGTTATTTCCAAAAGCCGATGAACAGTTGCTTTCATTAGTCTGAACCTTTTAAAAAATGTTAATTCATCCATAACATGGAAATAATTTGACCTTTCATAAATTCGTCTTGGAAAGCCAAAATCTACTATTTCCAAAATATCTAAATCGTCTTCTATAAAAATCTCTTCTTCCAATTCCAAATCCATGATTTTATTAAAAATTACCACCGTGACACCACCACTTTAATTAGTGTAAACATACAAAAAGTATGGTTAGGTTTTTAAGATTAACATTAAACTCTATTTTAATCCACAGAATTTCCAGGATTTAATTTAACAGTTAGTTAAGGTAATTAAACCTGGTTTATGTGACGGTGCAAGATAATCATGTAACTAAAACTTAGTTTAGTACTTAAACCATTGTTTAGTATGACGGTGCAAGTGGCCCTAATACATTAAAAATTTAATGATGTTTTCTTTGATTTTATACCCTTTTTCAAACAGTCTTGTTTTATTCTCTATTACGACGTTTTATCGTAGGATTGGAAATATAAAAATTAGATAAAATAAAAAGATAACCTGAATAAGTTTGGTAGCAATGTTTGTCTTCTGTTAACTATGACACGGAATATTTTTAATATCTTTGAATCAGCCGTTTGTTTATATTTTTCGTCCAATCAGAACAAGACATGAAAGCGTAAAGTGATTGACTGACAATCCGAAGTTGACGCGTAAACTTTAAATTTCTCGTAGTTTAGGTTAGGTATATAAGTGAAATATAGAAAGCAGCTGTAACATAAAAATATTAATTTAAAATAATTGAACAAAGTAAATTATTTTATGAATATGCACAAAAACAACAAATTCTTCCTTTACGCCGCTGGAATATTCCTGTCATATTTTTATTTTGGAATAGTACAAGAAAAAATCACAAGAGGAAAGTATCCATATGAACTGACTAAGGAAGATGGTACAAAAGTTATAGAAAACGAAAAATATACATATGCGGTTACTTTAGTTCTAGTGCAATGTATAATAAATTATTTAATAGCTACAATAGCTTCTACTATGTGGCCTCAAGGAGAAGATACCACTCGTAAGTTGTATTATGCAAGTATGTCATTCACATATTTATTAGCTATGATCTGCTCAAATATGGCACTACAATGGGTGCCATACCCCACTCAAGTAATTGGAAAATCTGCTAAACCTATCCCTGTCATGATATTGGGAGTTTTAATTGGGAGAAAGACTTATACTGTAAAGAAATACATTTTTGTGTTTATGATAGTTTTCGGCATTGTGCTGTTTATGTTAAAGGATAATGTTAAATCACAATCTGATGAGGCTTCTACAGGTATAGGAGAATTACTGATAGTACTATCTCTAATATTGGATGGTCTTGTAGGAGCTATACAGGTAATAATTTATTACAAATAATATTGTCAGGTGTTGTAATGTGTGAAAGTAATTTGAGTTGGCTCCAAAACATATTGTTAACAGTAGATATTCAAATATAGATTTATTACATTCCATAACATTGTACAAAGATGTAATATAAAAGGAAGCTAGATGCCAATAGGAAGAATAATAAAACAGTAAAAATTAACTGATTACTGACTAATACTAATTTATACTAATTTTGTTGATTATTTTTATGTTGTGTTAATTATTTTCAAAAAAGTTTCTGTTAGGTTAAGCTATGTACACACTTTTGAACAACACAATGAGCATTTTTTCACCCTCTTTTGCTAGATCAGTATAGGGCAAGCTGAACAGATCCACACTGCTCAGCCAGAGCTGAGAGTTCTCAAGTTGCTCAGTGAGTACAGAGAAAAAATCAAGATGTCCAAATGGCGAAACAGCTGTCCCAAGTTAACAATATATGTGCAATTTAAACATATTTATTGCGTAATAAAAAAAAAACAGAAATGTTTCAAGAAAATTGTCTTTTACTTTTCTACCATTTCTGATGTTTTGAAAAGCTTTTGGATCCAAAACATAAATTTTCTTTTTAAAATTTATTTGATAAATTTTATTGTAACAACTTGAAAAAAGATGTTCATACGGGAGGTAACGAATAATTTGGAAAACAATAACTGCCAAAAAACTAAGTTATAATATCAGCTCACAATTTTTAAATAATCTTTTTTGAAAATGATTTCTGAATTGGAAATTAAAATGTCAAACAGCAATTATTTGCAGGTAATTACAAAATCAATTGTAATTTCTATTTGCCACAAGAAAAAAGTTTTAGAATATTAAGTATGTATTTGTTTTAGGATAGAATTCGAGCTGAATCTAAACCTACAGGAATTCAGATGATGCAAGTAGCCAATGCTTGGTCCACATTGTTCTTGACTGTGGCCATTGTAGTATCAAAAGAATATTTATGGTTCTATGAGTTTGCTTGCAGACACCCATCTGTAGTTTACAATCTTCTAATGCTAGGTATTACTTCTGCTGTAGGACAACTGTTTCTCTATTCAATGGTAAGTTTGTTTCATAGTAACAATAAAATATAGTAAAAAATAACAAAAAAGCAAAAGAAACCCAGCAGATTACATTGTAGTAACATTATCAATTTTAAAATAATTCTTACATGGGCAAAGAAAAATATCCTGCAAGGGTGGTGCTCTCTTTCATTATGACCAAAAACAACAGTCAATTTACTTTGACTTAAATTATTCATTTATTGCTAATTAGAATTGAAATGAGTACATAGTACATATTATACAGCATGGCAGTCAACAGAAACAGATAGAAAAAATTAAACCCCATTAGAATTGTTCTGTGAAGAACTAATCAATTTTTTCAGGCTTGTTCTGTTGAACAAGAAATTAAGAAAAATATATGAAAGATAAAGGCACTACTACCGCACCTGTACAGAGTGCTTAAAATTTACAATGAAAATGTTTGTTTAATAAGAATAGTTAGCTTAATTGATTTCCCTATACATGATGTCGCAAAAACAAGTAACAATTTTGCTAAATCCAACCATTCATTGGCCAGTTTGAAACTCTTAAGAGGGATACTATAAACTTTATCGAGAAAATAAATGATGTCACATTAAGACCTGATAATAACTTAATTTTGGATGGAGTTTTACTATTCAGCAGTTCTCTGAGAACATTACAGATATTTTCTGTTATTAAATAGGGTGGAATTGGAGAAAGCGAAGTTGTTGAACTCAGTTATTGCAACCTTGTTCATGGTGGTAGATAAAAACCTTTTATCCTGGTTTAGTTATCCCATGACACTTGGAAATAAAACCAACAGACACAGCCTTTATTTGGACAACAACTCAAATCAGGTGAACCTGGTTCTTGGGAGAAAAGCTGAAGAATCTATAAGAAGTGTAAGACAAAACAGTTATGTTTTGCTATACTTTCAAAAAGAGTTAATCATACTATTGACCAACAATTAGAATCAAGAGGTAAACATTTTGGAAACTTATTACAAAATAATTACAGAAAAGTGTTACAAATGGAATCTGTAAAAGTATGAGGTTTATCTTCAAATCAACAAAAAGTATACAAGATAGTCTAATTGTAAGATCGACCAATGATCCAAGAAAACTGTTTTCCAGGAATACTGCTACTGGAACACTTCTCGTTGTTGTCATTCAGTATATTTATATTGGAACAAAAAAGGTTGTATACATTATTGTCGTCTTAGTTACTGCCAAAAATCAGCTCTTGTATTCAATTGTATTCATTTGTGTTCAGAAGGACCAATAGAAATTCAGAGACAGAAATTTTTATGTCAAGGGATGTTGCATTAACACTAAGAAATACCAAGACTCCTAGTGTTTTCCAACGGAGCAACTGACAGATCCTAGGAAGTATGTGATAGCTAATAGCACATATACTTTAGGAAAAACATTAGTGAGTATTTATTAATGTTTGCTGCAGTTGCACTTGTAGTTAAAAATCAATCAACCTCGAAGGATGTCATTAGCAATTGCTCCCAAAAAACTGTTGTTTTACAAGTAAATATTAACAATTAAATTATAAAGTTATATCAAGATATGCATAATTAGTACAAGGTATATGAAGATCATCTTCCTTTTTTGAAAAAACAATTTGTTTGTTGTAAATTGCAATAACTGCAATGAAAAGTTTATAGCTTTAGTTTTTACTTCAACTTTTCAAACATAAACTTAAAGCAATTAGGACAAATTGATAGTGATAGATAAGTAATTACCATCTACCAGTGACGTGACTTATCTTTATTAAAGGGTTTATGGTTTTCATTCAGTTGAATATTCAATATTCAACAGCACCAATAAAAAGATCACCAATAAAAAGATGGCGTCCGATAAGGATGATCGCGAGAGTGAGAGCGAAAAAACCAAGTTTACTTGTTGCAAAACTAAAAAATAAGCACAATAATATGTGTGAAGTGTGGAAAAGCCTTCCATAAATCATGCACGGCACGGGATTGGGCCGGAAAACTTCAAATTTTAGATGAAACGTGTGTGATTTGTTGTGATTCTAATATAAACTTAAAAAGTGGAGATGGCATGGAAAATACAATCATTCATCTGCTAAATGAACTAAATTTGTGAATTAAGAAGTAAAAATCAAATCCTAGAGGAAAATAATAAGCTGCTATGGGAAAAAATAGAAAGCATAGAGAAAAAGTTAACAAAAAATTCCATGGAGGTAAAAAATGCTGCAAAAACTAAGAATATCAATAACAATCCATTAATTTTAAAAGAACAAAATGATTTGAAAGAGACTACAAGGTCAGTTGAAGCAGTCACAGAACAGCCACTTTGTTCTGTTGATTTGTCTGAGCTGCCACCTAAACCAAGAATATCAAGCAGTTCAATTGCACCCGTGACGCCTGTTAAAGATACCAACCGTCCACTGATTAAAGATGAAAATGATAAATGGGAAACCCAAAAAAAAGAGGTTTTTACAAAACACCTCGTCCAACACTTATTGAACGACCAGATCCACTCCAGGGAACCAATGAGAATGCTGGAAGTATCCTGCGTGTAGCCACAAAACATATGGCGATTTTCCTGTCAGGTTTCGATCCAAAAACGGAAGCTCAGGAAATACTTAACTATCTAAAAGAAAGAAAACTGGATGAAAATGTTATCTGCGAAAAAATGAAAACCAGACAGATAAGTACAAAAGTTCATTTAAAATTACTGTTCCAGAACTAAAAATACCTCATTTAATGCAGCAAGAATTATGGCTGAATGGTGTAATTTTTAACCATTTTCAGAATGTACAGAGGCACCCCAGTGTCAAATGACAGTCTACGGCACACACCAAAAGAAAATTATCAGTAATCCACTTAAATACGCAATCAATTAAAACAAGTATTGATGCCATTAATTTTATCCTAGAAGATCATGATGAATGCTTTGCTCTTTGTTTAACTGAGCACTGGAAAACAGAAGAACAACTGCGGGACTACAATGTGCGGAATTTTAAACTGATCTCTTCATATTGCAGAAGCAGTTCACAGGAGCATGGTGCCAGTGCGATATACATCAAAGACGCATTTATTGCAAAAGCCCGGGAAGATATTTCTAGTTTATCAGAAAGAACGGTGTTTGAGTGTTCCGCTGCAGAGGTGCGAATTAATAAGAAGAAGATTGTAATCCTATCCATCTACCGAACAGAAGACCCACAAGTTTTAATGAATAAATTAGACCAAATACTTTGTGATTTAGTTGACCAGGACTCCATCATTTTTTTGGCTGGTGATTTTAACTTAGATATGCTGCTTGAGGGTGCAAGGTGGCCAGACGCATTAAAATGTTTTTGACTTTATATAAAACCTTCCATCAAAGACTATACACGCATACAAGGTAACAAAAAATCCTGTATAGATAATATTTTTACAAATCTTGACATATTTGATTCCCTTGTATTCAATCCTCATACATCTGATCATACTGCTCAAAGGTAAAATTTGAATTAAATGAATTTGAGTCAAATATAATAAAAAACGAATATTTAGCAAGGAGAATAAAAGTTTTTTTAAATTCATGTTAGGTAATGTAGACTGGGTATCTGTTTTTGAGACATTAGAAGTAGATAATCAGTGGGATGCTTTTATGAGTATAGTTCAGAAAATTTTTATAGAATGTTTTTCACTCAAAGAGATAAATACAGCAAATAAAAAACAAATCACAAAAGTACTTTAAAATGATGATATAAAACGTTGTAAATCTAGGCTTGATGTTTTGTTTACACTGTCTACCAATAATGTTGATTATAAAAATATTTACAGGACAGAAAAACGCAAATACAGTTCTTTACTCACTCAATCTCGGAAAAATTGTTATAAAGAACGAATTGAAAATAGCGAGAATAAAACTAAAATGGCTTGGCAATTGGTAAAAGAGATTAAGGGTAATTCCAAAAATCAAGGTAATTTCTGTTTGGAGGGTGACCCTCAGGTGCTTTCTAACGAAATAAATCAATTTATGGTAAATGCAGCGCCAGAAGCTGTAAAGAAAATAAAGCATGTAAAAAATTTTCAAATTAATATCGAACAAACTAATCATTGCATGTTTTTAACTCCAGTTTCAGAGAAAGAAATAAGTCACATAATAAATAACGTAAAAAACAAGCATAGCTCTGGTTATGATGAAATATCAACCAACTTAATTAAATATGTTTTATCATAGATTTCTCTTCCTCTTTCTTTTATAGTTAATGCTTCTTTCAAACAAGCTAATTTTCCTCAAAAACTGACAATTGTCAAGCCACTTCATAAAAAAGGTGATGTTACTAAGATGGAGAACTATAGACCAATAAGCCTTCTTCCATCATTCTCAAAAATATTTGAAAAAGCAATATATTTCAGACTACAAAACTTTTTTACTACAAACAACTTATTTAGTAGTTCACAGCATGGTTTTCTCGCAGGGAGATCTGTTGAGATAGCTCTATGATTTTATATTAAAAATTTTAGAAAAACTGGAGGCAAAGCTGAAAACACTGGGTGCTTTTTTGGACTCAAATATGCTTTTCTGGGAAAAAACTTTAGAAACACTCCTCACAGTGGCAGAGCAAATTCTAAGCAAGGCTGAACAGTGATTCAGTGGAAATCGGTTGTTGCTTAATACTGATAAGACAGTTGTTGTCTACTTTAGAACCAGCCAGTCACGAGAACAGTTTCCAGATACAATTAATTTTCTATCAGAAAACACGGAACCTGCTAGATCAGTTAAATTTCTTGGTATTCATATTGACCAGAATCTGAATTGGGGGGGGGGGGGGGAGGGGAACAAATACAAAATACAACAAAAAAAACTGAATAGAGCCTGCTACTCATTAAGAGTGTTAAAGAGCTATCTAGACCAGGATGATTTTACTATCAGTATATTATGCAAACTTTTATTCTATTATGCGATATTGCGACATTATGGAGTAATCCATGATACTATGATAAGAAGATAAGATATTGCGCATAAGTCGTGATGTCATTGGAGAGTTGCACGTTCGAAATGTCAGTTTTTTGTATGTGTCAATAAATAATCTTTAATAAATAGTTTGGAGATATCCTTATGTGTACAATTATTGTAATTATTGAAGTTCTTAACTTATTTTCGTCTAGTAATTTCATCACAGAATGCATATGTATCATGGAGTAATCTTCTGGGGTGCTGAAGTAGATAGCTCACCTGTCTTTATAGTCCAAAAAAAAGGCAGTCCGGGTGATCTTAGGACTAAAGGCGGGACAATCCTGTAGAGGCCGATTCAAGTCACTCAATATGCTCACTTTCTCAGCCATAATTTTAAAATTTTTTTTTGTTTTATCACCTGCTTCCCAATCATGAATATAATACAAGAAGCCTTAATTTGAATTTGCACTTCACAGATTGTCTATAACAAAGAGAAGTCCTTTGTATGCGTGTGTTAAATTTTATAATAGTCTACCATCTGACATTAAACAGGAAACACAGTATAGAGCTTTTAAAAGAAAGGTTTTTCAACACCTAGTGTTGACATTGAGCCCTGTACTGTGGCGAAGTGCCTTGCCTATCCTTCTCCTTGATCAGCTTATTTAATTTGTAATGTTAATATATTTTAAATGTGTGATGTCAATATATATATATATATATATATATATATATATATATATATATATATATATATATATTTTTAATCTGTAATTAATAATGTGACGTTATTTGCTCAATTATGTTTAAAAATTTATGCAAATAAAAATTTACTCTACTCTACTTATAAACTTGTTTATTGTGTGTTATGTAGTGACATAAATATAACAGATAAACATGAAAATTTCGAGAATTTATATATATATATATATATATATATATATATATATATATATTTACATGCATAAATATCAACTATTAACCCTAAAATAATTTATTAATCTTTTTAGGTATCCGAATTTGGACCTCTTGTAGTATCAGTAGTCACAACAACCAGAAAATTCTTCACTGTTTTGGGTTCCGTCCTGATTTTCGGCAATCCCATATCTAGTAGACAATGGATAGGTGCTGTGATAGTATTTACTGCACTCTTTTTAGACGCCTTTTACTCCAAAGGTGCCGCAAAGAAAAAATAACCTTCAAATAAATCATTCCTAGTTCCTAGGCAATTTTAAGAGAAATGTTTTGTACTAATTTTGACATTGTTTTTATTTATAAAAATTAGGAAACAAAATATGTTTATATTTATTGTATTTATTTTAATACAAGTTTATTGTGTATTAACATGTATAATTGGTAAAAAAATGTGATCATACTTTTCCTTTAATTATCCGTTTTTCAAATTTTCATATTTTCTGGACTTACATGGTTAAACTAAGGTATAACGGAAATTTATTTTATTAGATTGCTTACATCCTTTTTCATTATTTATTTAGCATATTTCTTTAATCTTTTCAGATACCATTTGTGATAACTCAATATTAGTCAACTCATTCTACTTTTAAGAAATTAGCTGCGAGTTCTGAATTTCGTTTGTGATATTCTAATTTTGCATAAGTTTCAAATATTTTTAGCGGATTTTTCACTTATAAAAACAAGCTGGCCGACCCGCTGATGGCCCTCTTTACCTTCATCGAGCGAATGTCTTATTACGACTTAAATTCTACAGTATGATCCACTTATATTTGGACATAACCTGCGATCAGTACCGCTGTTAGAATTTATCTAACATTTTTAATATTTTTTTAGTACCTTTCTCGCGCCTCGTATATTTATTTTCGGCCAGCTATGCCCCACTAAATGATTTGTCTAGTCACTCCAATCCCATGTTTAATTTAGATTGAAATCAACAAGAATCTGTTCAGTGCGCTATGAAAGTTGTCAGTGAGGGATGTTAGTAAAATCTAACGCGGTACCAATTACGTAGTCATAAATTTTGAATAACCCTTTGGGAGGCTGTAGAAGACGATATGCAACAAGATGAAGTCGATCAATCGGACACAGATGTTTCAGAGGCCGCTTTCTCAAGTGACGAAATAGATAAAGAGAATGTACAAGACTCTGCCTCTACACAATCAAATTTAAAAAGATCTGAAAGAAGTTGTCCCTATTATACTGGTAAAGATGGTACTAAATGGTTAGTGCACCAAAATCAAAACAAAGTTGGAAAAAACCAGCCCTCAGAATATTGTTACACAGATACAAGGTGTAAAAGGTATTGCAAAAGAAGCCAAAACAATATTGGATTGTTGGAAACTGTTTTTCTCGGATGAAATCATTCAATATATTACAGATTGTACCAACGGGAAACTTTAAAAAATGAGACTCACCAGAAACGCAAAACATTACAGTCCTACAGATTTTGACGAACTGAGTGCATTTGTCGGGCTTTTACATCTGCTAGTGTAAAAAGAGCCCAACATTTAAATACTTCAGAACTTTGGAGCACGGACGGAACGGCCCCAGAATACTTTGCTGCTACTATGTCAGAACGCCGTTTTTACTCTATTACAAACTATTGGGTTTGATGATATTGAATCTAGAGTAGGGATGTGTAGTTCACCATCGAAATAGTTCAAATGAACGATTCTTTCAACTGAACTAATTGAACTAGTTCATTAATTTTCATAGAACTAGTTCGCTGCCATTTACCAAAGGTAGGTAGTGATGTAACAAATGTCATTTTTTAAACATTCGCGAATGCGAATATATGCCACCGACATTCGCGAATGCGAATATTCAGTTTTTTTTTAATTTGGCAATTTTAATTGTCTCCGGCACTGCCGGCAGTCTCATTTGCGCGAGGTGTGTAGGCAACTGGAAAAAGTCTGTCATTTTTAACTGCTTTAAATTGTCCAGTATCATTCTATCATATTTGCTAAAGTAAAGATGTGAAACAGTTGTATTTATTGTAAAGAAGTTTATTGTAGGCGGTTAAGTTTATTGAGGGGTCGTTTAAAAAGGTATTTATTTATAGTCACGTCCGGGCCAAAAACGTAGAAAGCACGTTTTTTCGATCTTATTTTCTCTTGTTTTAATCAAATTTGACTTGTTACAGAGAGAGAAAGTTATAGCAGAGAACTAAGTTCTCTGGTTATAGTTCCAATAAAAATTTCACGGGACACAAGTCACTCCACTTGCCCTGCTCTGCTCGTGCACAAATACAAGTGAATTTTTAGATAAAGTGTGATTAGCTATTTATTATTATGAGTAAATCAAATTATAGTGAAATATGGACTTATTTTTCACCACTTTTCGATACTGAACGAGCTAAATGCAAGCTGTGTAATATTCGCAAAACATTCGCACAAATTTTGCGAATATGCAAAAATATGCGAATATTCGCGAATGCGAATATTCGTGACATCACTATGGTAGAGGCACTCGAGAACACCTGCTGAATATAAGACAGATAATCGAGAAATCTAGGGAATTCAACATCCCACTATACATCTGTTTTATAGATTACCGTAAAGCGTTCGACAGGGTCAAGTGGAGACACTTATGGCGAATACTAAACGAAGTAGGCGTACCACAACATCTAATTACGCTTATAACTGAACTATATGAACACACTACTGGATCAGTTAAAGTACTTGACACACTTTCGAACGAGTTTCATCCAGAACGGGGTGTCAGACAAGGATGTATACTATCTCCACAATTATTCAACATATATGGAGAGTATATTATGCGAAGAGCACTTGAAGGATGGGGAAAGGGCATCTCAATAAATGATCATAAACTAAACAACCTACGTTTCGCAGATGACACAGCCCTTCTTGCAAATAGTCAAGCAGAGCTGATGGAACTTATACGACTGATCGAAAAAGAAAGTCAAATATTTGGTCTGCAATTAAACATATCAAAGACAAAGATCATGATAGTGGATAGACTACACAACAATCATCCACACATAACCACAATTGACCGGTTCGAGGTTGTGAGCTCATACTTATATCTGGGATCGTTAATCACAAACACAGGGTCATTGCAAGCACATTACAAGAAGATATTAAACGTAGATGTGATCTAGCAAAAGTTGCCACAGCAAAAATGACCAAAATATGGAAGGTATGTCAAATTTCAAGAGCGATAAAGATGAGGTTGATCAACTGCTTAATATTCCCAATACTGACTTACGGATGTGAATCTTGGACTCTGAGACAATCGGAGAGAAAAAAGATAGACGCCACTGAAATGTTCTGTTGGAGACGAATGTTACGAATTCCTTGGACCGACCGTAGAACAAATAATTCAATTTTAAGAGAGCTAAAAGTTAGCCAACGACTCTCTACTAAAGTCCATCTCTAACAATTAAAATATTTTGGGCATGTTATGAGAGCAAACACAGAAAACATGGAAAGACTCATAATACAAGGAAAGGTAGAAGGCCGAAGATCACGAGGAAGATCCCCAACAAGATGGATAGATCAAATTACAGGAATATGCCAAAGCATGCATGAATTAAAAGAAATGACCAGAGACAGAGATCTCTGGAGACGGACAATACACGACATCACGTCGACCACTACACTCCCCCTGGGGGGTCAGGATTGAAGAGAGAAAGTTCGCTGCGAACGATTTGCATGATAAATTGTGTCTCAAATTCTAAAGAAAAAAATAATGAATGAATGAATATTCTAACTCGATGGAATGAATATATATTTATTATTTTGTAAATGGATGGACTAACTAGTTTAAAAAAAAAAATGCCGATTAGCCTCAGATAACAGATTCATAATTCTTATGAATGTGACAATAACATATAGTCATCTTAATGTCATAATGGTTCGAATCTTATGCACATGTACTGGCTTGGATGTTGCCATGCTGTGTTCTTTCTTGTATTGTAATTTTGAAATAAAAATTTTAGTTGTGGTTAAAACGATTGAGGCATTTACATAAAATATAATGTTATGTAAAAATGAGAATGAAAATGTGTTATTTAATGTTTCTAGAAAATTCACTGATTTTTTGTAAAGGTTCTTTTAGAAATAACCTAATTATAAATACCTATGAGTTTAAATATACGTAAATATAAAAATAAATCATACGTAAACCATATTTATATTTAAAACGGTTAATAAAAAGCAAATCTTAATCATTTTTGCAAATAAAAACTAACTAATCATATAATAATTTAAAACATTTAAACCCTAACATACGATCGAAAGAAATAGTTCCGAACTACTTGTAGGGTAGTGAACTAGTGAAAACCGAAGAAAACGGGCGGCCGGCGCCGAGCTTGTGTGATGATTGAGACGAGACATCTGGCAACCAGTTATGTTAGGGTTGGATTTCGATTTCGGTCCTACAAATAGTTCTTTCGCGAACTAGTTTACTGAACTAGTTCATTTTTGTGAACTAGTCCGTCTAAAAGAACTAATAAGCACACCTCTAATCTAGAGTAAAAAGAGTTCAAGAAGATCATGTGGCGCCTGTGCGATACGTTCTGGATACCTTTGTTGGGAAGTCTTTATAACATTACTCGGGGGGTAGTTACATAACAGTGGATGAGATGCTTGAGGGTGTCAGAGGGAGATGCAAAACAAAAAGAAAAATCAAACGATTTCTACCTGGCGAAATCGAATTCAAATCTTGACCACTGTGTTTTCTAAACTTGCAAAGCAAATAGCTTGATAAATTACTCGGCAAGGGAATCTAAGATTGCATTCCACATGCCGTTTATAATGGTCAAAATTATATTTTATGGACAATTACTTTACATATGTATCTTTGGCTAATGACTTGGTACACAACTACCGTATAACGTTAGTTGGCACATTACGTAAGAACAAGCGAGAGGTTCCCCCAATTTTTTTAGATACTAACTTACAAAAAAATAGCAGCATGTTTGCTTAGGAAGTCGATCCCAATAAATGCGTTCCTACCTCATATGTACCAAAACCTAATAGAAATGTACTGATGCTGTCGACGTTTCACAAAGATGATGAAATTGATCCAGGTGGCGATGCAATGAAATCTTCAGTCATAGCATTCTATAATCTAACAAAAGGAGCTGTAGATGTAGTGGACAGGATGATGGTAGAATATTCGACTACAAGAGTGAGTAACCGTTGGCCTTTAACTGTTTTTTGTTCTTTACTCAATATTGCTGGCATAAATTCACAAATTGCTTACTACAGCAATACAGACACAAAGCTCAAACGA